GTTGTGATATTTAAAATGTGTTTGTTATTCTGCTGATTCAGGAACTAAACAGAGGCCACTGAGCCCACACACATCAGTCAGTAAAGGGGTAGTTCAGATTGTTTGAAGTGTGGTTGTATGAGGTACTTGTTGATAGTAAGTGTATTAACTAGGGATGGGAATTTACAGTAATTCCTGTACTCGATTACTCGAATTACCTAATGAACGATTACTCGAGTACCCACAGATTAATATTGTTTTTTTTAACTGTAAACAAAAAAAGGGTCCGCCTGACACGGACCTCCCAGACCGGAATTGTAGACTTTATGCCTGTAAAATGACATAAACATCCAATATTTAAACATAAATATAAATAAATAACCAACAAAAGAAAGCGATTTCAATTTCAACGATGTCGCTAACAATGACGTGTGCTAACAGGGCTAGCAGGCCTTGTGCTTTAAGCGCATGTGGTTCAGCATCAAACTAGTATTTCTATGGTATGTAAGTTTAACGCCACATATCTTGCACTGCACATTAACTTCATCGTTGACGTACTTCCAGACATAACTTTTCTTGACTGACATGTTGCAGGTGTAGCAGACGGTTCTGTATTTGTTGTGCTTTTGCTTTCGGTGTAATAATATGTTCCTAGAGAGAAACAGATGTTTTTGCTGAAATCTGGCTCAGTGTGTACTAAAACTGAAGCCGTGGCCGGAGAAGTCATACGTTTGTACGTTTCCTACCTAGTATATTCAGTTAGGCGAAAACAAAAAGCTGGGTCACACAGGTAACACTGTATGAGTTCAAGTTTTGTAGCCAAAATCAGCGCTTGCACAGGTGCACAGGGGTCAACGGCGAGTACTCGAGTAGACGAGTACTCGTACCCATCCCTAGTATTAACCACATGAGATGCTCGACCCCGTTATAGAGAAACCAGTGGGCGTGTTGGCAGGGAAGCTAGTCTTTGCGTCACTGCAGACGGGGCTCTTTGGACCACATAATGTAGATAATTTAAAGAAAGACACATCTAAATATCAATGTCAATGTTAGCGTATGCTATATTTAGAAAGATTTCACTACTTCAGCTAACTGCACATCTTCTTCCGCCCGTAGAGCACCGATCAGGCTTCAGAAGAACTGGGCTGCAGTAACGTCAAAATCCACAATATTAATATCAGTCTACATGCAAAAATTCAAGTTGACATTTACGCTTTAGATCAAGTGCGCGACAGGATGTACTGTCACAGCACATAAGTCTTCAAAAAAAGTGACTTGCTGACTGAAAGCAAAGCGCTGAAAATAATCCTGAATATTGTACACTTCAGTTTGTCATTGATTTTATTTGTCGTTTTCTTTTTCTTAAAATGAGCTAATTAACTATTAACACTAATTGTACAAGAGACCCTGTCTGCTGCTATGTATAGCCTAGCTTCTGTGCTGGTACCCGAGTGTTTTCTCCTTTAAGGGACCGAGCGAGAATACATTTACTATTGACAAGAACCTCAAACAACCCAACTTTGAAAAGTACTGAATGATCATTTTAACTGTTTGCCACCCAGTACTGGAGTGTGTTCCCAGTTTAAATGAGAACAATGTGTTGTTTCAAACTGGGCAATCTTCATGTAGTTTTCAACAACGTCAGAGTTTCATGCCTTCAAAAGTATGTTGGCTGAAAATGTTTGAATCTGGTGTCTGAAGTTAAGCCCCAGATTGCAGGTGGAGCTTCATAACGCTTTTGGATTCTCATGACTCATTTCTCTGTTCTGCTGCTGTACAGACGCCATCTTATCCATACTCGCAGGGGGTTCAACCATCTCAGGTGTCAAACTCTGATTCATCACTCCCCCCTGGTCTGGTTCCCCTCCCCCTACCATACGGCCCGTCCCATCACTGATCCTAACACTCTCCTCTCACCAGTGTTGGATCGCTCTGACACGTGTTTGATTTCCTAATTTTTTAGATTTGTCTGATTTGAGTGGTTCAGAATGATCAATTATTGATGACAAAACGACAGTTAGCTCAAAGAAATCGAAGCAGGAATCAAGATTTATCCATTACAAGTCATAAGACCCAACTTTACCTCACTTACTCGCTTCAACTTTACCTGACCTTTAAAGACCCTACTGTACCCGACACTATGCCTCATCCTGTTGTGCTCTAAAGTATATCCAATCAACCCAACTGTACCTGCTCAAACCTGTCTCAACCCCACAACCCCACCTCTATGCACTCTCCCTGACTCATGCCAACTCCAGTCTTATGTTCCTGACCAAAGTTCCACCATTCTCTATCTTTCTAACTACCTGGCTGATATGTACCTGCCCAAGTTCTACCCCAACATGTTACCTGACGCTGTCTTAACAAATCCACCTGTCCAAACTGACTACACTCCACTCAGTTCTACCAAACCAAACTCCATATCCTACCTGACATAACTCTACCTGTAGAAGTTCTACTCCACAATGCCCAATACAACCCCTCTGTCCTCTCCCCTATTGCACTTTAAACTCTTTCTATGTGATTTTTCTCACTTAAATGTAGAAATCAGTATCTCCTCTGAAAATAACTCTGTGAGTCATGACTGTCTACAATGGGTGTAACACCCGAGTCCCACTGTCTGTGATGTTTTCAGAGTTTTCAGAGTCCTATCTTCACTTTGTTTACATCGCCGGGACAGCCGGCTGACTCCTCCCCTCGTGTATAAAAGTAGTTTAATTGAGGGACTAGAGAAAAGAAGAATAACATACTGTACTCACTGCTTAACTGTGTTTCTAGATCACGCTCATTTCAGGTAAATTTACATGCAGTGTGAAGATACCAGCATAATAAAGATCGCTAGCATTAGCATGCTAACACAACAATGCAGCGTGAGTTGTTTTGGTTTCATGCTGGAGCTCAAGGGCGACATCTGCTGGATCAAAAAATCGCATATAAAGCCTTTAACCAGTCCAGCTCTCATCTACCCTGCTGTCCCAAAAAAGTTCCACTTCCCATCACACCCTGTGCTCCTCGACTCAGACCTGTCCTGAAACGTCCATCATAGTTCAATAAAACCTCTGAATATTTTTTTTCAATCTTATAGCATGACATCATTTATTTAATCAGATTTGAATTGAACAAAAGTGAGTCTTTAAAGTTGCTCTCAGATATGTATATTCTGACTGATTCCTGCTCAGATGTGTTTGGGCTGGTGCAGTAGTTTTGTCATTGATAATCCTCCATAGGCCCCGCCCCTTTAATGAACTGGTTTTCAGTTGTAAGTGGTGACCAGTAGGACCCTCCTGCACTCCTTCGCCTCCCTGTTGTTGTTAACACGCTGAATCCCAGCAGTACTAAAATTCACTGCATACACTGTTGCCCTCACCATCGCAGCTGCATGTTGACTTGGTGCATGCGTTCACGGGGCACCGCCATCACCGGCCGGCCGCTTGCTGGTTTTGATAACAGATATTCAGTGGTTGGATCACCAGAGCCAGATTCCCTCTGCTCTCTTTCCAGCTGGTCCAACATATCCCTGAGGCCAGTTTAAACTACCAGAAGGTTCCTCCAGGTTCTGCTGCCGTCTCGGGCCTGGACGCGAACATGAATGAGCCGGAGCCCGGTTCTAGGCAACGCCGTCCGTGGAATCGTGAAGAGGTCACTGTCTAATAGCACTGAGGCTACGTTCATACTGCAGCTCAGTGTGTCCCAAAGTACTGTTTTTACTGCCGTACATGATTTACCCATTAACATCCCCCCCACCCCAAAATATGCTCAATATATCAACAGGTTCAAAGCTCATCCTTTTACATTTTTAAAATCATAAAACATTAATTTTAATACTTACTAATTAATCTTCTTTCACAGCCACCGACCTGATCAGAAAGCCGTTAGTGTTTGAGTAGAGGGACTCCTGTCGTGGGTCGACAGTTAGCCTCATGAACAGTCTTTGATTGTTCGGTATCATCCTGATCCATTGGGCTGTTGGTGAAAGCTTCAATGTTCCCACTTCTCCAGCTCCTTCCTTAAAAGTCCACAAATATTCTCGACATCATCTAGTTTTGAACACGTTTTATAAACAGCTGCATCAGATTTTTAAACTGGTGAACTAGCCTGCTACTATCGCCCCCTGGAGACTTTCCCGTTTATTTCAGCCAGTACTAGATCAAACAAGAAGTCCAATATTAACTTAATCTTCGAGTCTCAAAAGTGAAGATGCTAAAGTTTGTCCTCAGCGTGATTCCAGAGATCATTGAGGTTTTAAAGAGAGCAGGAAAGCGATAAGGAAAGGTTTTTGATAATTCGACCAGCGTTTGTTTGTTTGTTTCTGCACCAATGAGCTGCTGTAATGGATGGATGGATGGGTAGATGGACGATGGATGGATGGATGATGGATGGATGGATGGATGGATGGATGATGGATGGATGGATGGATAGATGGATGGATGGATGGATTGATGAATGGATGGGTAGATGGACGATGGATGGATTGATGGATGGATGGATGGATGGATGGATGGATGGATAGATGGATGGATGGATGGATGGATGGATGGATGAAATACACAAAGATAAAGGTCCAGATGGACCACCCTCAGCAGACAGATCGAACCAAGACAACAGTGTGAGAGCTGAGCCTGCAGTGTGAACATATCCATCAGTTTAACAAACTCAACCCCACTGACACTGCTGCAGTTAGTTTTGGTGTGCTGGGATGTAAACCACTGTGATGCCAGAGGTTCAGGTTCCTGCTGGGTTTTCACCTGGTCCCCCTCCCTCCCTTCCCCTCTCTCTCTGAACAAACTCTTTCAGGTGATTCTGGACAACCTGATGCTGAACCCGGTGTCTCAGCTGTCCCAGGCCATCCGGGAGAACACAGAGCAGCTGGCCGAGAAAATGAAGTAAGGAACGAGACGATGAGACTGTGGCAAATAATGAATTCACTGTTTGTAATAACTGACCCATCAGCACCAAAAATGTGAAGTGTGTCCCTGTTGTCATAAAAACAAGTTAAAGGTTGAAGTGCTTATGTTTCAGACGGTTAAGTTTGTGTTTTGTTGGTCCAGTTGAGAAAGTCCTGACCTCTGGGTGTTTATATCAGAGCTTTTCTTTGGTCCTTATTGTGGTTTCATTTTTCACTCGTACTGACCTCACTCTGTGTTCGTCTGTTCTCAGGGTTCTGTTCCAGAACAAGGCCGATGTCTGGGAGGAGATCGAGGCCAAGATCAACGCAGAGAATGAAGTCCCCATCCTGAAAACCTCCAACAAGGTAACCCCAACCCTAACCCACTGAGCCCTGTAAAGCCTAAGCCCTTAAATCATTGTCAGATATCATCATGTCCTTCTCTCCTATTCTCTCGCTGAATGTGCTCTACAAAGGTCCTTCTGCCCCCTGGTGGATTATCTATGCTCTGCATGTAACTGGTTGTGTTAATATGGAGAAAATGACCTCACTGAGGATGAACAAGGCTCTTAAACTACACTTTCACAGATGATTCACTTGGGATTAAAGGTTTAAAAGTGTTTGAAATAACCACTTTCACCGTTAAATGTTTTTGAGCAGCCTGAACTTGACTTGTTTCCTGTTTCCTGTTTCATTCACAGGAAATCACGTCCATTTTGAAAGAGCTGAGACGAGTCCAGAGACAGCTGGAAGGTAACAAGCCTGTTTGCTTCACTTTTTACTTAAAGACAGCGTTGATGTGTTCTAACTTTGCGACATCCAGGCAAGTTTTCAGTGGCATAAAAACACCTTCCTAACAATGATCTGCAAAACATGAAGTGAACAAACATACCAACTCTTTCCCTCCACAGAGGCAGTGATGTGTTTTAAAGTTAATTTCATGACATTGAGTTTCAAATGATTTAAGCTGCGTCATCTGCATACAACATTCAGTTGTTCAAGCTTCAACAGCTTCATCAGAGAGAAAGAGTTTCAGTTTGAAATGTTCTTAAAGAGTGAGGATCCTTTAACTCAGTAAAGTCAAAGCTACCGGCTAATTGTTCCCCTGATTGAATGATTTGTGCTAAGCTAGGCTAACGTCCTGTATCTATCTCTGTGATAGACTTCTTAGATTTTTGGTAAGTTTATGTGAACTCTCTCCTCCTGGTTTGTTCATTAATGTCCTCTTTCTCTTGCTGTAGTTATAAACACCATCGTGGAGCCCGGTGGGAGTGTTCAGACGGCCGCTGTGGGGACGTCACCTGTGAGTCAGGCTCGACCCTCTTCCAGGGAGAAGAAACCCCCCACCAAACCCCGCAGTGCCCCCACAACCTCCAACGCAAACGAAAGCACCAAGAGACCACCTCGTGGACCCGACGGGGCCCACCACATGGCCTGAACAGGCGACCGTAGCACCTCTGGATAGTCTCTGTGTCCACACCACCTGTTGCCCTGTTTCTGTGTGATGAGCAGTGAGGAGATCAGCTGCAGTTCACAGAAGGTTTATCAGATAAAGACAAACGTCTGCTCTGACTCTGACCCGGCGTCCATCGTTCAGCTCCCTCAAAGAACAAAGTCCTTTTACAATCCCAAGAGTCAGAGATACTCAGGGTCTGATTCACTAAGAATGATTACAGTCTCTAATATCTCCATAACGTGTTCCTCATATTCTCCCTCTCTTTGCTCGTCTCTGAGTCTAACTCTCAAAGCGTATAGCTCTGATGATCTTCAGACACAAACACAGTTAGCTCTTTAGTGTGTGAATGTTGAAAGAAGCTATCTGCACTCTCACTCTGATGGAGTTCAGTTCTTTCCACATTAAGATGATGAGAAACTTTTGACATTTCATCAAGAGGACTCTAAACATGTGAGATGAGTTTCAATGTTTCAAACAAACATTGAAACTCCTCCCTGAATGGAGCGAGAAAGGACGACTCAAAGACAATAACAACTCACATAGTCGTCATGGTAACGGTGTAATCCTTTCATGAATCAGACCCTGAATGTCTATTGGTGAGGACAGAATCTGTGAGGTCATCCATCGCACACAAAGCACATATATACTGAGCCCCTGCTCCATCCAGCATATCAAACGTTCCCAACATGTACTCGTATGAAGTCCTGACGTTAGCAGAAGAAGAAAAGAGCGTGCTTTAATGTTTTTATAACCATGAGTCTTGCTCACCATCACACATGGACCATGTGACCAACAGGTTCACGACCTAAACAAACTGAGACTCGACATGGGTAGATGTCTGTAGATGTGTGTGTGCAGAGCTGCTGGAGGTGTGGGACCGCCTGAAACTCTACAAACTGAGTCTCTTCTTTAAACTGTAGATCGCTTCTTCTACGCCGAGCTAAACGCCGACCTCGCTCGCTCCGCAGTCCTCCATGTATAAACTCTGTGCTCTGATAATCTGTGGTGCGTGTGAGCTGCTGATAGGTTTGTGTTTCTGTTAGTGTTGTGTTGATGACAGAACATGTGACTGAATGTTTGTGTTCCTCTCGCTGTGATTGTCCGCTCTGTGCAGCTGAATGTCACGGTTTGTGTCTTAACGTAGAAGAAGGATTCACTGAGACATCCTGCTGCTCCACAC